CGCCGGCTGCCCGCCCGCCGGGAGCAGCGGCCGTACCGCCTGCGCCGAGCGCCTCGCGGGATGCTGCGCTCCACGTCCACCGTCACCCTGCTCGCGGGCGGCGCCGGGGCGCCAGGGAAGCCCAGCAGGAGGGTGAGTAGCTGAGGCCGGAGCCGCCGCTGCTCCGACCCCCCTTCCCCGTCCAGGCATCCCGCTGTAGGAGGGTAGAGAGGGTCACGCGCGCGAGCTGGTCCTGGGCCACCCTGGGAACAACGCTCCTGTCCTGTCCCAGCCCTGGCCGGGACCCTTCTTCTCGACGCCCCAGGGGCGCCCCACTGGCTCGCCGGAGAGGACTTAGGGGACATTCTGGAATTCCCAGAGATTTCCTCTTCTTCCTGCCTCCCGGTCAAGCCAAGTTTAAGAAGCAGGAGACCTATGGGGGACATTTCTGCAGTGTCCCTACCTTGAGACCCAAAGGTAATGAAATGTGTTTAACGTGTAAACTTCCCCTCTTCCCTTTGTGTCCACTGGTGATCAGATAATACCGATTCTGGGGTGGGCTTACCTAAGGTGGGTGCCACATTACAAACTAGAGGTCAGCAGCGGGGCCACCCAGGAGCCCAGTTGTGTGGGACTTGGGTTTATGGAAATCACTTTTTCTTTCTGATATAAATATTAGCACAGCGGCAGAAGAGGTAGCCCTGGAAGCTCTGGGCACCATCTCCAGGGAGGCTGCATTTTTGGAAGTGCACTGTTTCCCTACAATACTTGTTGCTTCTTTTCTCACCTCTCCAGATGTCATGTGAAAGAAACGCTAGACGCCTGCAGGATGTATCTTTCACATTCCTTGCCTCTCCCAAGATCAGCGCCTCAGAGCACACTGCCAGGGGCTTCGCTGGTGGCTTCTTAGTTCATCCATTTATCAAGATATTCAATACTTACTATGGTGCCTCTTTACTTGGGCTGAGACTTCTCTAATCGCGTTTTCCCTAGGGTTGGGTAACCAGATGGTTGAGTCCAAACCTAAGCTCCGTTTGGTGCTCCAGTCTATTTCGTAGTCTTGTAGACATGCTTTGTTTGTTTGCTTGTTTTTACACACCTTAGCCAAATGATTGGTAAGTTACCTTGTGTGCTGTCTTTCTTTGGCTCTAGAAGAAAGGCATTGTTTTACTCTTGGGTGTGGGCTAAGTGTTTGGTTCTTGTGTGTGTATGCTATGCCAGTTAAGGCTGATGAACGCTAGTTGTCTAACTGTTAGATTCATAAAGCAAAATCCACATTAGTTCCAAGTGGTTTTCCAACCACAGGGCCAAGCGTGGGACCTGTAAGTCGTCCTCCAGAGGTGTGACTGGTCGGGGTGGCCAGAGCCATACTGTGTGTCAATACAAATGTGATTAGTATACCAGATATCATTTCTGGAGATTTCTTTTTTCTCAAATATTTACTTTTGAGCATTTCTTTAGTTACAAAGGAGCCCTGGTGGTGCAGTGGTTAAGAGCTCTGGCTGCTAACCAGCAGACCGGCAGTTCAAATCCACCAGCTGCTCCTTGGAAACTCTATGCGGCAGTTCTACTCTGCCCTACAGGGTCGCTAGGAGTCAGAATCGACTCGACGGCAATGGGTTTGGTTTTTGGTTTTAGTTATAAAGGGTCTGGTGTCTGGCACAGTGGGACACACTATCAAGAAGGCTTTGCCTTTGGAATAAGATGACAGAAATGCTTTGGAACTGGAGGTTGTAGGGCCTGAATCAGACCCTGCAGGACCGAGCGTGTACACTGGTACTTGTTCTGGAGAGAAGACATCTAGCGGCTCTAGAGCTCATCCTGTCTCTATGGCTTCCAGCTCTGCTCATGATCCACAGATGTCACAGGTACTGTGTGTTGTGTGGTCATGGGCAGGAATCTGTGACGTTATAGATTAACTGAGTTATTAAAAATATTCATAGATCTTCAGTGATGCACAGGTCCATTAGGGCCCATTCTACCTGTGGAGGCAGACATTATCTCCAGTTATTCTCGTCCAAAGTGATGATTGTTATAGTGGGGTAGAGTGTTTACAAAGTTCTGTGGAAGCTAAAAGGAAAGGTTGTTCCGTCTAAATGGAACACATGACATATACCTTATGACAGTGACACGTTGGATCTGCTTTAAGGCAAAACACAAATTTTTAGAAAATCAAGAACAGGATATCTGGGAAATAAAATTGTTGACAAATAAGTAATCGTTAAAACGGTTCTTGAAATGGAAAGTTTTCGGTAAAGTCGGAACCATCCCCTCTTTCCTCTCTGATGCTGGTCGAACAATGACATGTTAGCTGTTCAAATTACATTTCTGGTTCAGGCAGAGACCTTATCAAATCAGGCCCTGTAGGGGAAGCAGGCCAAGTTAGTCCAGACGGTCAGGCCAGCCAGAGATGGGGGTGACAGCTGCTGCTGAACAGGGAGTTCTCTGGGTCGGCTATCAAGGGCAGTGCTGCCAGACCAGGGTGCTACCAGTCAGCCTCGTTTCATGCTGCCACCTGCAATTTGTACTTCCTTCCTATCTGAAATCATCCCTGGAGGAAAAAAGAGGCGGAGGGAGTGATTTCTGTCAGGTGATAAGCAAAGCTCCGAGAGGCGTTTATGGATGCCTACCGCAGAGATTGTGAAATGTAAAAGAAGCCTGCAAACCAGTTGCACGGCTAAAAATAGTTTTATCTGTGGCAACAGCAGGAAGATAAATCGGCTGGAGAATAACCTTCTCCAGAGTGATGACTTTGCGGGGTAGGGGGATACATTTTTAAAAAATAATGACATTTCTTCATGATTTTGAAAGGAATTTTGTAAACGCCACTTAATCCTGCTGAATGAGCCTTTGAAAGGAAAGGTCAGGTGTGTGGCCAGGTTGTGCGCTTTGGGGGAAGGCACCTGTTGCTTTATGCAGCCATATATTTTGGTTACGCCGCTCGGTGAGGGTGGCGTGAGAAGACAGACCTGTCTGAGGTTTAATCCAGCACCGCGCTCTGCTGATAGAGGAGATTGTTGGCTGGGGTTACTGGTGCTGTGGACTCTCATTGGCACATACCCAAAAAAAAAAAAAAAAAAAAAGGCATAAGGGTAGAAGGATTATCTCCTAGGCTGCCTTTGGTGATGTACCTTTCCATTTGGCAAAGGCCTCTTTTGTTAAAAGCGGGAACGGGACTGCAGTCACCATGCCGTGGCCGATGCACCGCTCTCCTCTGTTCTGTTTCTTCCTGATTGGCCCTAAGGAAAGGTTCGCCGCAGCTGCCCTGTGAATGGGCCTGGCAGGTGTTTGCCTCACTTCCCTTTCCCAGAACACAGACACATCTGTGCACACCAGCCTGTAACATGCTGGACACAGGATGCTGTTGGACCTCGGAGTCTGGCGGGAGGAAGCAACTGCAGCAACTACCAGGATGGGGTGGTTGGGGGGCACTGCACCGAGAAAAGGCCAGCTCTTCCCCAGGGCCCTCCTGAGCCAGCCCCTGACAGCCTAAATTGAGAGCTTTTGGCTTAGCCAAAAAGCTCGTGCCACTAAAAATGACAACTGCAGGCTCAGAAAACATGTCCCAACCTCCATGCTTTTTTTGTTCATCGGTCTTGCTGAGACGGATGGAGGACCTTCAGACTGGAGTTCTGGAGGCACTTAGGGAAACTGGATTCACCCAAGACACATATGCTCTTGGAGTCCTGGTGGCGCAGTGGTTAAGAGCTATGGCTGCTACCCAAAAGGTCGACAGTGCAAATCCACCAGCCGCTCCTTGGAAACCCTATGGGGCGGTTCCACTCTGTCCTGTCGGGTTCCTCTACGGCAACGGGTGTGGGTTTCTCCACACATACTCTTTATAGATGTTCCAAATGACTTGCCATTTCCCCAGCTTTCGATGCTGTTTCTCGCCTCTTTGCCTTCATTTGTGCGTCTCCTGCAGGACTCCTGCCCTGAACCCCTCTTGTCCACAATTCCCCACAGGCCTGAGCGCCCCATCGTTGCTCGTATCACCTAGATACACTACCTGGGAGAGGGGCGAGGCTCCTCTCCCATCCTGGTGTAATAGGGGCTGAAAAAGCCAAGTCTCACCAGGGTCCTAGAAAGCCACACTGAACGTTCCATTGGCCAATGAGGGAACAGGAAGAGGCGTCTTGGGATAAAGCTGGTCCGTCAGCCTACCCCCACCTGAGCAGGACACAGGCGCCACGTGGATGGATGAACCGGCCCAGGTGAGGAGTCTGACGGCTCCGGGAAGGCCCCCCAGACCCTGGTTGTCCTGTCCTGTTCCAATTAGACGTTGACTCCTCTGGCTAAGTCGGTGGTTTTCAGCCCAGGTGACACAGAATCTCTGGGAAGCTTAAAATATCTACTTACTGTTAGTTGCCGTGGAGTGGATTCCAGCTCATGGCGACCCCATGTGTGCAGAGTAGAACTGCTCCATAGGGTTTTCAAGGCTGTGACCTTTAGGAAGCAGATCACCAGGCCTGTCTTCTGAGGAGCCTCTGGCCAAGTTTGAATCGCTAACCATTTGGCTAGTAGAGTGTTGAACCTTTTGAAACACCCAGGGGCCGCATGCTCGGGCCTTACCCCAGACCAACTGAGTAAGAACCTCTGAGCGGGGGGAACAGCTTCAGTGTTTGTCAGGCCCCTCCCCGGGCACTTCTAGCATTCCAGCCACTGCTTTACCCGCTGCGCTCCACTCACGGCCGTCTGGGAACGCAGCCATCCCTGGGCAGTGTTGCCGAAGGTCACTCTGGCCTGGTGGTGAAGGGCAAGGGGGTGGGGCAGCAGGGTAGCGATACTCCCGGTCACACTGGTATCCTTGGATGCATTCGTTTACTCTCTGGATATCTCGGCATTTGAGGGCACGTTCATGTGCCTGGTGCAGAAGTGAGGCAGAGAGAACAAGGAGAGGTTGTCAGCCTCCTGTCTGTGAGTTTTGTCTGGGTCAGCTCTGCCAGGGGAAAGTGGGACTCCAGGATACTTCTCACCAGACTACCGCCCGTGGGTCACATCCGGCCCAAAGCCGTCAGCCCTGACAGGAAAGTGGGACTCCGGGACACTTCTCACCAGACTA